GACTAACCATCGTTCTGACGATTATCGTCATTTCCCGTGAACAATACTTGCGTCGAGACGGTGAAGCTACCCATCGTTTAAATTCGCCGATATCGATATCGAGAAAGATTCCGATAAATATTTTCCTTCGACAGTGGATGGAAAATAAAAGGTGACGAATTGAAAATGAGGGAAGGAGAGGGACGACCACAGCGACGAAATAAATTATAATAAAAATGAAGAAAGTGAGGAAAACACGAGGATAAAAGGCAAAATTGAAAATTCCAATCACAAGAAAGAAATTTATCCCAGAAAAACAAAGAAAAAAGAAAGGAAAAGCGAGAAAGAAGGGTACTGAAGGGTATCGAGATAGCAAAAGTTGGACGACGACGATAAGAGGGGGGAGAGGGGTGAAGAAAAAAAAAAGGAAGGCGAGAGCGTAAACGCGTAAGAAAGAGGATAAAACGAGAACCGTGCACGGCTGAAATCGCGAGCCACTATTTTCTTCAGGCTGATTCTAACGTCTGATCTCGATTCGTCCACGCTTTCTCTCTTTCAGTTCACCGTCTTTCTCTCTGTTTCTTCCTCCGTCTCTTTCTCACGCTCGATGCCATCCAAATATAACGGCCTCGCTAATTCACGTCCAGCAGCCTTAGCCACCAAAATATGAATTCACCTTAGACGCGAATATAAATCGAAGGTTATTTCTGGATCAGCCAAGAACAACCAATGAACACCGGTAGAGAGCTGTCCCTCTTTCCCGAAATATGTTCATTTTTCTCAGTGTTCATTCAATCCATTATACATACTGCGATCATAAAATGTATTTATTTTTCGACGAAGCTTTTTTTTTTTTTTTTTTTTTTTTTAATTAAGGCTTAACGTTGCATTTTTAATTTTCGTACGAAAGCAGATGGTAAGGGATTTAATTGAACGAATATTGTAAATGGTACTTTGTATCTTTGTATTATCAATAATATTAATAACACGATTAATTGCCTCAATATTTAGAAAATATTAGATATGAATAATCGTTACATAATTCAAAGGATGTAAAAATACATGTACTAAATTCGAGAGACAATTGTTGCAAGAATTTGTTATTCTTCCACTGACTCTAAATAGTTTCTCTGTATAAAATTCAGTATCTAAAAATTCTCTGGCTAATTATGTTCAATGCAGGTTAAAATTGGACTGCAAGTCAAAAATTGATGTCACTACGTATATTGATACATAAGCCTGATATTTAATATCAGAATAACATAGATTTAGATTTTCCTCTTTATACGGATATTTTTGTCAAAATTAAAGTTAATTTCTACTAAGAAACTATTTATTTCAATTTATTTATTATCATTTAAAGGCTATTCTAGTGTTAAGTCCATAACTTTGTTACAAATACAAATATTTACAAATAATTGCAGATTATCACGTTTTTCCAAGATTTTACTAAAAAAGTTACTTTAATAGAATCGTGTTCAGTCGTAAATACTGAGATAACTAACACGGACATTTGAGTATGGTTGTTTTGAACATAATTTAGTAGGATAAATGAACAATGTAACATTCGAGACGATTAACAGAATAAAATATGAATTATCGACGTTGGCAGACATCCATGACTTAAATGTCAGTTAAGTGGCCGACTGTTTTATGAACTGTTCTGTCACAATTAGTATACAGAGAATCTCACTTTCCATCACTTAATAATACTGTCAATTTCACACATCCGAGTGAAACATTTCTTAGATACATTTACTGTCATCAATCTAATTAAAATCGAAAATCTATATTTTCTGAGAACATCTTAATAATACAATATTAATTATTATTATTATAATAAATAAATAATTATTATAATCAATTAAAGTACAATTAAAATTTCTACGAGAATTTCCGAAATATTCGTTCACACACGAGATGAATTTCATGAATTAAATGATTACAATGATTCTTGATCAGTAACATGTCTGTTTAGTATAAAGTATTAGTATTTAGTATATAATAAATATAATAAATAAAGTATGGTATAAATACTATATAAAAATTTCTATTTTTAAAAAATGAGACCCCGACGTGTTTACCGGAAGTGTTTACCAGATATTACGATTACTATACTATGCCATGCACTTTGCATTTATTCGCGGATCCAATGCATCGTCGTGTCCTCAAACTATCCGCAAACGGCCCAGCAAAGTGCAATGTCCCACTCGGTTAACGTTAACAATAAAAACTCACCAGGCTCGGAAACCACGTAGCTAACGTAACAGCTGCCATCCTTCCGATCCTTGAAGTCGATCTGAGCCTTGCTGGGTCCCTCCACGGAAACAGCCAGAGTACCAGCTCCGGCCTCTCTCGTCCAAATGTTAAACTCGCACGGTTCACCCTGTTCTCCCCTCTCCAAGCCAGGGCCACCGGCGTGCACCCGGTGCGCACCGCTGTCCCTGAACGGTCCCACGGTAAACTGGAAGGGTGATCCGGGGATATGGATCTCCTTGTAACGAACGGAAACCGTGTGCACGCCGAGCTCCTTCGGCACGAAAGCAACCGCGTACAAGCCGTCCTCAACTTCCTTGACCTCGGCGTCCTCGGTGACGCCTCCCGGCGACGTGACCGTCGCCGCGAGATCGAACGACGTGATGCCAGGCATCTTGAACGTTATCTTGCACTGACTGCCAACCTCGGTGATGGGCACAGCCTCCCTCTGTCTCTGGATCTTCTCCCTCTGCCGATTGCTACCCTCGCCGGTCACTTTTATCGTGTACGGCGAGCCCTCCACGTGATGGTCGGCGAACTTCAAGTTCACTATGTAGTAACCAGGCTCGGTCGGCTTGTACGAGATGTTCAGTGTCCCGTCCTCGTTGTCCTTGCACTGGATCTCAGCCTTGCTCGGCCCTTCGATCGACAGTGAGAGACCACCGAAGCCAGCGTTCCTCGTGTCGATGGAGAAGTTGTTCTCCACGTGAGTTTTACCCTCGACCAGGCCGGGCCCGGAGACTTTCACCTTCTTCGCGTCACCTACCTCGCGATCCTTCACGTCGATCTTGAACGGCGAGTTAGAGATGTGTTTGCCCATCTTCTTCACCGCCACTGTGTGAGGGCCGGCCTCGCGAGGTGTGAACGACACGCACATGTTGCCGTTTGGTAACGTCTTCAGGAAGCATGGCTCTTCGAGGCCGCTCGGGGCCGTGATCGAGGCGTTCAAGGATCTGATGTCAGAGTCTGTCACTTTGCCCGGCAGTTGGACCTCGCTGGACGAACCGACCGAGATTTGGTTCCTCTTGCGACCCTCGCCTGCAAGAGATTTTATCGCAATGTTAATTCCTTGGTCGGTTTGCTTTTTATTAAAAATTGAAATTGAAATTCGCGTGACGTTAAACACAGTTAAAAATAATAACCATAGTCATTGGTAAACCATTAAAAGTTACAGTCACGTGTCGCTATAGTAAACTATTATACAACTAAAAATTATAATAACAGAAAGGAACATATCTTAAAATCTAGCACATTATAAGCTGCACATGAATTATAAAAATTATAAAATGAACTATGAAAATTAAATTCGATCGAGATGCTACAGTTTATTGAACGTAGACGTCCTTTAAAAGAACAAACAGATTCTCAAATGAACATTCATTGTTTAAATAACACTTTCTTAACTGATCGATTATTTTTTAACTCTTATTACTTCTTGGTTGATACACATGATTCGTGTACTCAACCATGTATACATAAAAAAAAAAAAAAACATTTTTCAAATTTTTATTCTTTGCTGCTTTATGTAACTATATTGCTATATGTAACTATATTTAATTAGGTAACTCTTTTTACTTGGGGGGGAAAAAAAAGATATTAATATAATCGAAGTACCTGTGATTTTAGCAACGTAAGGACTGCCGCGAATGTGCTTGCCACCGAATTTCACGCCGATTTTATATTCCCCGGGATCGGTTGGTAAGTAAGAAACCGAAATTGTGCCATCCTTATTATCGTGGCAGGAGATCGCTGCTTTGCCCGGTCCTTCGATGGAGAGCGAGAGACCACCAGGTCCTACGTCCTTTGTAGAGATGTTGAAGTTTCCTGGTTCACCGCAGACACCGTATATCAGACCTGGCCCGTACGCTGTCACGTAGCCACTCGCTAAAGAGTCCACGTGGAATCTGAACGGTGAACCTAATTCATAAAACACGTATATTACTAATAATGCAAAGCTTCTGGCAATAAATACACGTGACAAAGCAGAGACAAGTCTTATTTAACAAATTTCCTTTTATACCGTAATTATTGCTATTTCTGAAGAATTTAATTTTTTTTTTTTTTTCGTAGAAATTATTCTTCCAGACAGAAAGAATCCCTCAAATAAAATAAGAGATTCAAAAGTTTCGTAAATTCGATCCTTTGATAGTTTATTTAAATGTAAGAGTTTAAAAGTATATATTGAAAAATGGCACAAACCTTGAACGTGTTCGCCATTGAATTTCACTGCAAGCTCGTGTTGTCCTTCTTCCCTTGGATCGTACCTGATCGACACAGTGCCGTCTCGATTGTCCTCGATCACGGGTTTGTCCAAGTTCCCGCTCGGCATTTTTACTTCGGCTGAAACGTGATCAAAAAGCAGAGAGTTAAAACACGCGCTTACGAACGATTCAACGTTTTATAAAGTTTTGCAAAGTTTCCCTGCGATGCCGAGTTATTACGTTATTCAAAACTCAGAAACGTCTATATTTTTTATAATCTAATCCAATCTGATTGCGATAAATTATGTTCTGTCGAGAATAAATAAATTTTCACGTACTTGACGCACCGCTGAATTATTAATATTAAATGCGAATTTTCAAGGAAAAGAATTTACTTTCAATCTATATCACCTGAAACACAATGATCGGTAATTATGAAATGTTTTGTGAACATTCCGTGTGTGCGTAGAGCGTGCCTAACAGGAATAGGTAAACTAAATGACTAGGAATAATTTTCCGGAACGCTGAAACCTTTTTTCGTTTGCACGTAGAAAAGACTCTGAAAAATTAACGGAGGAAAATCGAGTCCCAACGCTGGCGTTGCTTCTTTCCCCGGATCGATCCTGGTGTAACAGACCGGTCCACGTTCAGGGCAATCGTACTGACTGCACGAAATAGTCTTCAATCCGTATCTGTAGAAGGTCGACACCTCCTGCCACGTGGTTTCGACCTCCTCTTCCTCCCAGACCATATCCAAAGGTTCGATTCGGTCGACTCACTGATACGAATAACATTACACGATCGTTGACAATACGTCTCCAACGATTGCAATTATATTGTGTCAAATTATACTACACTTTTCAGATGAATGATAATTAGATACGTGGAATATAAAAAATCTGAATCGGTTTTTTTTTTTTATATTAAACTATTATTTAGTAACTGGATGAAGATCCTTGAATAAAGAAAATTTATAGTACATTTCGCGATCAAAGTATTGAACTGTATCCCCTTGTCAATCATTCGAGCGTACACAAGTGGCTGGTATTCGATCAGAAGATGTTAACAATTGCTCGTGAAAGTATTTCGTGTAACATTTCAAACGTTTCTTAACAATTTAATGAGACACGAGCGTCGTCTATTATATTATATCAGTCAACTTTGAAACAAATTTCATGATATACTACAAGATTTAAACAGTCAATTATCTGCTGTATGTTCAACAATGGCTGTTTACTAAATATATCTTTAAAATAAATATCTTGCATACGTTCCGCACAATATACAGTCAAATGACACATATGATAAATTATGTAATACACAAAGTATAATGTTGTAAAAGCTCCTCCGTGACAAGTGTCCGGATACTTTCACGAGCCACTTCATAATCTTCTTTTAATCTTCAAGAAACAAAATTTGATCCTTCTGATAAATCACTTGAGATCGTCTTAAAGCGCTAAGCCATTTTATATCGATCGGATCGAGCCGAGTGGGGAACAACAAACACGTAAAATCGATGTCGACTGTGTAAACGACTAATCCATTCTCTCTGCTTCGTTATCCAATTCGTAGCTTCATTTTATTTCAATTAAAAAAAAAAAAAAAAAACACGGGAGTCAGAATATAAAATGAAGAAAAGAAGATTACGAGAAAGAAGGAGACACTGTACGAAGCACGAACTAACATCTAACTTCGTTTTTTTTGGATTTGACACGGTCGTAGAAAAGAAATTCGATTCTCTTTCTGAGAACGTGATGAAATTTTGAAAACAAATTTGCACTTGAATCTGACATTCTTCGTACGTGAAGCTTGATGAAAGCGATCTCGAACTTCAGTCATCAATAACTATCGTGTGAGTAAATTAGTCAACAAAATAAAAGCAATTTTTGTGCAAACTAACAGAAATCAAGCAAAGATTTAATTAACAATCTCTGTACAATTTCTTCGTGTTATTCGTTACCATATCGATCTTTTGCGTATTACATTGTTCCCAAAACACGAATTACCAAAAATTGCAAAATAAACAACCAATAAAATTGCGAAGAAAGAAGAACCGAATTTCGTTTTCTACTCCGAAAAAAAAAAAAAAAAAAAAAGAAACATCTTTATCGAAACGTAGAGAAAAGGGAATAAACTGAGAAAGTAACGATCCTCTTTCTCTCTCTCTTTTTTTTTCTTTCTTTCTTTCTTTCTTTCAACAGTGAAAACATAATCGATGATAAGTAGATTGAAAAGTCGTGGCAGGAGAAGGACCGACCGAACGAGTTACACCGTAAGAAATCCTCTGGATTTCGTCTCCCCTTTAGAAATCGTCAGCGAGCGTTGCTTCCAACACGAGAGAAACGTTATCGCCGATTATCGCTTCCAGCTGGATCACGACGTTCAATCGACTTCTCGAGGGCACATCTCTGGCGCGACTGACGATGAAGCGGGCATCGCTACGCGCGAGGCAAATGATGCCAGCCCGGGGGACCTTCTTTTTTTTCCAGAACACCTACCGCCGAACTTGATATCACGAGGCGGTGGTCGCCTCGTCTCTAATAAATCTTCCCGTCTCTGTCCACCGCTTGCTTTCGTCTTATAATTACGCATCGTCGACATAAGACGACATTTTCTTTGTTGCAAACCTGTGACACTTTTACTCTCGCGTAGATGTATAACTGTACAACGAAAAGATCGCCGACAATTTGAAGTAACGTATGACCTTGGTAAAAAAAGGAAAAAGAAGATTGATTTTGTGTCGCCGAGTGGACAGAAAGGTAAGGATCCTCTCGAGAACTCGAGAAGGTTCAAACGCGTGTAAAAAAAAAGGTATTAAGGAATTTTTCTCGCAACTAGTTTTGAAGGTTCAAGTCTCCACTTTACAACGACCCTTTAAAACTAGCTGTACGATTTTTTTTCTTTCTTTTTTTTCGGAATTCTATTGAACTTGGAACATTAGGGATAGACGAAATCTTGGGATCTCTTAAATTTTTGTCGTTTAACATTCAAAGTTCGATAGAATTGTAGGGGAAAAAAATCGTGCGGCAAGTTTTAAGGGGTGTTATTTTCGTGAATCTTTCAAGTAACAGATCGATTCTGCGATATTTAATTGCACTCATTATATTTATTATATTTATACTGTATATTTTATATTTTATAATTATCACTTGTGAACTTCTGTTTTTAATCAGTTGTAAACAGGCTGATTTTTATTCATTACATGAAATATCCAAGATGAAAGAAAATGCTTTTGATAATATTTGATGGATAAAACAATTATCTACCAAGCTTCTATTTTTTTTTTTCTTTTACTTATCCGTAGTTTACTTGCAAATTTAATACCGCAACAATCGTACCGTTGCAACCTGGGCGATAAAATTTTTTCAACCTTGGTTTTAAAATAAAATCTACGCTAATTAATCTTCGCGAAATTTAAACATTTTACTACATTGTTAACATTGCTGCGGGACTAACGAAATTTGCCAAGACGCGTGTAAATAGTCAGCCGTGTTTAACTTAATAAATTTGTATGATCGTGTAAGATCGAATACACGTACATTAAGGTAATAAAGGTAATTCACACACGAGCCGGTTGCTCAACCACCAATTGATGTTAGACATTATAAGTTGCTTGTAATATGAGAAATGTGATTGGTTCTTGGCAATACGAACCTTAATAAATTCAAGCTTAATGAGACGTGGAGAATTTGCGAATAGACACATATTTTTAGATCGAACGGGCACTTATACGTTTCTGATCGTTTTCTATATCTATGCAGCATTGTCTATTGTATTTTTGACGTTACTACATTCAGACTGGGGACAATGCGAATTTTCTATTAAAAAAAAAAAAAAATTAAACAATTTGCAATTACCCACAAACAGTGTTTGCACGGTCATTCTTATTAAAACCTAAATGGTACTTTGAACTAATTCTACTGAAAAATTTGCTCGCGAGTTGTTTGTTCAACAGCAACAATTAACAAACTTGTGACAGATTTTTCTTATGTAAGAATTTCTGACAAAATTATATACCATATATGATGTAATATATGCTTAATAATAGCAGTATAATTATTATTAGTATACACTATTATACTATTAATTACCATAATAATTATTCTGGATATAGATTATTTTATATACTGTGATCATAGATTTATATTTTATCAGAGAACCAAGCACGAGTATACTCGTTTCAGTTTCAATTTATACGCACACAAGATATTTAACTCCACTTTCTATCTAACCTTTGTCAATATCTTCCAGTTTATCGCTCAATTTTTTACCACCTACAAACTTCGTTTGAATCTTTCGTTTCATCGAGAAAATAAGCAATCGAAATAATTCGTATAAATAAATAAACAAATAAATGACAGTGACGTGTATTAGACGAAGTAGATAAAAAAGCATCGCTTTGCTGAAATTCTTCCGGATAATTCTAACATTTCCACGAAAAGCGCCTGTAGCTGTAATTTACGTATTATCCACTTATATATAAATATATATCACTTCAATTTAAACGTTCGACACGCCTCACGTGTGCCGATATTTTTACGTTCTCGCCAACGAAGAGACGAGTCATTTACGCAGCCGGTTACATAATTCATTACTATGCGCAAAGAAATCT